AGCCTGATCGACCCATGACTATGGTTGATCCTCCGACTGTAGGATTTTCCTTTGTAACGAGGTCAGGAGGAATTGAGCAGGGGGGACGACGGTTCCAGTTCGATGACACCACAGATTTGGCCAATATGGGACCAAAGGATATCTTAGAACTGGAGAGTAATGCCTTGAAGGACCCAGAGTTTTGTGAAACTCACGAGGTTTGTGGCATTCGACTCGGAGACCTCGTTCTTGCACTCCAAGGAAGGCCTGCCAAGAAGCCGCAGAATGAGAGTGCCTCTACTTTGGCCAGAGGAGGTGCGCATGGTCCTTACTTCCGGCTGAGCGAGGTGGGTAGTGTTTTAGAACACCAGGATCCCAGCGTTCACGAAGGCTGGAAGGTTTATCTGAACACAACAAGGGCGCGGGAATGGGCGCTGTACCGTAGCCATTCCCATCCGTTGCTAGCTGCCCACCAGGGTGCTCCCCGAGCCTGAGAAGCATTACGGAAGGCAAGAATCTTGCCGCAAGATATGTTTGGGACACAATGGTGGCTGATGTTCGTAGGGGTGTATCTACCTATCATGAATGCCAGATGGGCAAACCCTTCGCAAAGGAACCTGCTCAACCACTGGTACGCAAGAGGAACTCGGGCAGGTTCACCAATGTCCATATCGACTTCCTGACCAAACCGAATGATGCCAAGTTGGGGGGGATCTCCCGAGTTGAGCCCTGGAGGATGGCAGTACCTATGTGTTCTGATGGATGAGGGGACTCGTGTCGCGCTTGCTGTGCCATCGTTCTCTACAAGCACAAGGGACGTGATTCAGGCGTTACTCCAGTGGTGTGCTTGCTATGGAATCCCTTCAGTCCTCCAGATGGATATGGCCGGGGCTCACCAGTCACAAGAGCTTGCAATGTTCCTCAGGATGATGGGCATCTCTTTGAGGCCGGGAGTGCCGAGAAGGCCCCAGAGTCAGGAGATGATTGAACGGCTCATTCGTGATGTCAAATCCGCCATCCAAACTGCCCAAGCAGATAGACGAAGGTACACCACTCCCTGGTGGGCTGCTGCACTAGTAGCCATCATGGTGCATAACCACTCTACTTAGTATGACACCCACTTATCTCCCCATAAATTGGCTACAGGCGCACCCTCCACAGGGTTAGTATCATTACCCTCATGTCCTCAAGACACTGATGACGGGCCTCAAACTTCGGACATTGATGACCCTACGAAGCTCTGGCATCGCCTGCATGAGTGGATAGGTTCGGCCTACTCACTTCTCACTCATGTACGGAATGAGAGGCAACTGGTTGCCGAAATGAAATCTGTTGCATCTTGCCGTACGCTAAACATTCCCAGGAGGGGGATAAAGCTCGCCTTTACAGAACAGTTGATGGACATAGGCGCGTTGAAGGCCCTTTCGAAGTGGCCAGATGTGATTCTAACAACTGTTATTTGTATTTCTAAAAGGCAGAAAGTTTCCCGCTCCTCTCTCTCACCTTTTATTTTCTCGTGAGGACGATGTTGAGAGGAAAAGAGAGGAAGAGACCGGCCCTCATCGAGCACACTTACCCTCCATCCTCCGCGGCAAGATGCCTCAAGGTATCGCACTGGGCGACCTAACTGGTGGAGAATGGGTGGTCGTCCGTCGATTGACAAAGATCGATTGGGGGACTACTACTTGCTATCTTGCCGAATTCAAAATGAAGGTGAACGATAGATTCATGGTTGAATGCCTTGATCAAGCTCCCTCTGGTAGATGGGTTATCCCTAGGTCCAGGGATACCGATCAAGTAGTCAGCCCTAAGCACATTCTCGGTGAGCAAGGTTTCTACCCAACAAGGACGAGGCCTATCTCATCTCGCGTTGCCGAGTGGCTGGAGTCTCACGGTATTAGCCATGTTCGCCACTAAGAGGGGATGTGTGGCTGACGGCAGCCTGATGTCAGTGCAGAGTTAGTGCCGAACAATTTTTCTCTACACTATTAGGTTGATCGATAGACGGTTTGAGCTACTAGCTTAATCGAAAGACGATTTTAATTGCGTCACGTTTTGCTCATTGCTCATCTTTACCACTACCTTATCTCTCCTTATGTCGAGTTCTCCCAGTGAGCAGGCTCACGTACAATATCGGAATATCCATGGAAACTAAGCTTTGCATTAGGAGCAGTTACAGGGTTGTCGATTTCATGGAAATCGCAAGGCCATTTCTGAAATTGAAATTTCATACGGAAATTTCCATGAAATTTGTTTCAAAGGTGGAAAAAGAAATTTAGCTCCGCCGGTACCGGCGGAGGCCTTGTTTCTCTGAGAATCTCTGCTTGGTCTTGTCGAAAAACTCCTTCGAACAGAGTTCCCCAGTTTCTCTAAAAATATCAGCCCTGATCTTTTTTTGCTTCTCCATATGTGAGTGACTTGTACCCCGGATGAAGCGAGCCTAGGAGCGCGTTGGTGCTGTTAGTAAGTAGTGTCTCTGAGACTCCGGTTCATAGCCGTAGCTAGAGCAACAATATTCTTATGAAATGATCCCCAGCTTGCACCTTAAGCAAGAAGTGCAAAATCTTGGGAGTAAACTTGAGGTGAGGATCGCTGTTGGTGCTTGCTGTTGAGGTCCCCATAGAAGACCTTCGGCGTTTTCGACACTTCTTGGTAGGGGGGTGGTAGCAGGTCCAGTTTTCACGGCAAACATGGTCCCTTCGACGAGTAGAGTAACTCTACTAGAGTTGTCGAACCCCTGATCCCACCCACACCGGCGGATGAACGTATTTTGGATCTTAGCATCAGCAACCCTCTCCTCTGTAACCGTCAAAAATCTCCAGAGGGTTGAGTTAGAGATAAAGACGTCTCGTTCATCGGAGACCACGTTGTCATTCGGCTGATCCAACTTGGGCATATATCAACAAATCTGTGTAGTAGTCTACTATTGATCTCAATGTGAGTGAACTCCATCCTGACTATAACAGAGACTTCTAGAGAGCTACTCTAAGCATTGGACACAGCATACCATGTTGAGAACATGGAGCATGTTGAACATGATGTTGTATAACAGCACACACGAAATCACCATGTTGTGAAACGGTTATGACATCTGTCGAGCGTCATTTCAATCGATCTCTCCTTGAATCGGTCCTGATCGCGAATGCGATGGTCAATTCGTTATGTCTTGTATAGCGTCTAACTGAATAATTGTTTTCGGAGCTTTCGGAGCACTAGGGATAAGTTCAATGTCTGTTCATCGTCTTTTTCCTAAAATTTCCTCTAAAATATGAAATTTCCACGGGTTGCATTTCTAGTCTGGAATTTCCAATTCCGACAACCTTGAGCAGTTAAACTCGTATTTATACTGTGACAGTTTATGAAAAGCAAATGCGGAGAATTTGCGTTATTTTATGAGACTAAGCAACGTAACGATGGCTATGATTCAAAGCCTATGAACATGCGTTGTGACAGATTGTGAATTTTCGCTGTAATTTTCATTTCCTCAGCTGAGCTCAGGAGTTTCCAAAGCTTGTTATTGAAGTTTATATATGAATTTGGGTAGAAGTATACAGAAATGAATAAGAAATACCAAAATTTCCTCTCAGAATTTCTTCATATTTTCATCACCAACACCTTTGCATACTTTCACATTCGCGTTTGAACCTTGGCGTCAAGTGATTCACATTGTTATCATATTGATGTTCGAAATCTTAAAAATCGACGGTGTTGGAGATTAATACTCTCAAACTAGGTGTATATAATCGTGCGTGAAAAAATAACATTTTCGAATTCTCATTACATACTCTCACGCTTTCAGCAAATGCATTGCTTCCCCATTATTAATTCTAAAAGCCTCCCAACACTACAATTCTACTCTTTTCAATGCATTACTAAACCTACATCGTGCGTAATTTTATCACGTTTTCGAACATTTTCAACTTCTGTCGTTGCTTCCTATTCGTTGTAGTTCACCACGTTCATAATAGGTATCATATTCATACCTCAACGGTCCCTGACGAAATTGCTATATTCGATTTGGATATGATCCGAAGCTAAACCCAGAAGCAGTGAAATTTCAGGTGAGTTGAGATTTCATTGAAGTGATCGGTGTTGGAATATATGGAATCGCTTTCCTCAGCCGCTGAGCTCTTTCCTATACAGTGTTGGAGTAGGAATATATGGAATCGCTTCCCTCAACTGCTGAGCTCTTTCCTATACAGTGTTGGAGTAGGAATATATGGAATCGCTTTCCTCAGTTGCTGATCTCAGAAGAGTTTCCTATACAGTGTTGAAGTGGGAATATCTCATCGCTTCCCTCAGCTGCTGAGCTCTTTCCTATACAGTGTTGGAGTAGGAATATATAGAATCGCTTTCCTCAGCTGCTGAGCTCAGAAGAGTTTCCTATACAGTGTTGGAGTAGGAATATATAGAATCGCTTTCCTCAGCTGCTGAGCTCAGAAGAGTTTCCTATACAGTGTTGGAGTAGGAATATATGTTATCGCTTTCCTCAGCTGTTGAGCTCGAAAGTCTCCTCACTTACTATAGGAGTTTATATACGGTAGAAATGTACGGAAACCGAAGAGAATTTGCAGAAAATTCCTCAAAAAATTTCACATCGTTGGCCACACATGTGGTTGACCATGTGGACATTTTCCCTCCACACAGTAGTTATGATCGATCAGGTGATTGATTTTAGACATTTTCATTTTTGCAGTCCGGCAGCAGCTCGGGAGCGTCCTAGTGCGACTACTACTGCTACTACTATTACGACGGAGAGCAAACCTGATGTTCATTTTCGGGTGAGATTTGTTTTATTGAGTTTACGTGAAGTGGCGTCGTAATACCCTGTGAAAAAATCCGATATTAGCGTTGATATGGAGTAGTCGTGAAATATATATTTTTCACTAGTGTTTTTCGTACCACTAGGGTTGTGAAACTCTATTGAGAGTAAGGTTGGTTGTTTTAGCGCCCACCGGGTAATCGTTCACAAATTTATCAGCTTTGTGATATTGAGGATTCCGCCATTCAAGGAGTAGTGGAAAATGAGGTAAGGAAACTGTGCGGAAAATATGCCCTCAATTCGGAAATTTTGGGAAAATTTCGGAAAATTATCCAGGATTTTCTGTATAATTTTACAGATTTTTTATATAAACACGTAAAATTGCGAGGTTCGAACCGGAGGGTAAAGGCATGGAGACTTACGTGCAGGAAAATGTACATATGTGTTGATTACATGAAAATTCTGAAGAAATTTTGGGAAATTATCGCTGATTTTCTGTATACTCCTACTCGAATCTGTATATAGCCTCTTATAATCGGTGAAGAATCTCCCGAGCTGAATTCAGGAAAGCAAACATACACTCTAACAACGAAACGAGACTAATTCTATATGTATCCGTGTGGTGGGAAAATATGCGCATGATCAATTAAGTGTGTTGGTGACAATGTAAAAACTTTGGGAAATTCTCGTTGATTTTGGAACACTTTTATGCGAATTCGTATGTAAAATCTCCTGAGGAAAGCGGATATATACATTCCTCCTCCAAAACTGCCATTTGTGTTTCTTCTCTTTTGAAAGAGGTTCTTAAGATTAACAGACTTGGGAAGGCCCTTGACCCGACCAGTGGATGGATGGCGAAGTCAACCGTGTCGTCGATACGAACACAACTGAAAGTGATGGGCGGAATTTTTTCCCCACTTGTTGTCCGAGCGATTATATCGATGTAGGTACGTAGTGAAGCTATAAGAAGATTGGAAACTCCGGTGGCGATGGCAATTGAGTAAACATATTCGACTGGTTTAGGATTTCCCCGACTTGTGTTTTTTCAATTAATTTTCAGAGGGCGAATTTTTTCAGTGCTGAGGGCCAATTTGATAATATGTAAATTTGTGTTTTCTATTCAGAGATTAATGATAGTGAACAACTTGTCGCTATAATAATCTCGACAGGTTACTCCTACCACATCTCATGTTCATCCATGCGATATAATTTCAAATCGATCCTTATTAATCTCATGAGATAGCGTACATTTGAATTCATCAAGGATTAATTAAGGATTTTTCCCAACTTTGCTTTGGCGACTAATTTTCAATCAATTGAAATTGTCAAAAGTTGTGTGTGATAGGTGACTGTGTTTTCGTATGCGGCGGGCTTAATATTTCACACGTGTTTTTTCTCGAGTAACATTGGAGTTTCACAACCTGTGATATGAGAAACAGTCGCGAAAAAAAACATATTCGAAAACGCATTTGGAAAGTGAATAACGCGTAAAACACGTGATGTGTTTCACGTGAAATGGGGTGATTTTGTGGTTTTATACATGTGTTGATGAAAATAGTGAGTAAATTTGGGGGAATTTTTTGGAATTCTTTTTGTACACTTTTACTCGAAATTGTGTGTAAGGCTTACACTGTATTACAGTGACTGTAAGCCCCTATAATTAGTGAGGAAACTCTTCTGAGCTCAGCTGAGGAAAGCGAACACGTGCGACCGCCATCGATCGACCGCCAAACATCGTTCTGGAAGTTGAAGCTGCGATCTCATCCACCTTAGGTGGGAACTCTTTCTTAGTTTTTTTTTTTCAAAAACCACCAAAAATTTCCCAAAAGTTTTCATACGGTCATCAGCAAATCATTCTGGAAATTTCAATGATCTAGAAGAAAACTCGTTCCGGTCATCGCAGAAATATGTTCCGAACTATGGACCCAACGTCACCGTCGTCGATTCCAATACTTCCTGTCACCAACTGCTTCCGCTCACGTGTACTTATCGTAGCAGTCTGCCACGATGAGTACATGTGACTCACATGATGTGAGCAGTTTGCTACTAGCAGACACTCAGTAGGCCAGCGGTCTAGTACAATGCGTATAAATGCAGAGAAAGGTAAACCGTCTGATTCGTCGGGCGAAGATACCCGTCTTGCGCACTAACCCATCCTAGGCTCACGTCCAATGCGGTGACAGCGCATCACACGTTTCAATTCTACGTGTGATACGTCACGTACGTGGTAGAGTTCCACCAACGTCTTTACGAGTATGGCTCGAGATTCTCCATTACGACTATCCAGACCTCTTTGCTATACTGATAACGATATGCTAGACCTATCCAAACCTGAGCAGATCTGTGACTTGATAACTTGTGCTATCTATGCAGGTCAGTCCTCGACAATTACGTGCCAACACGAACGATCCGTCACTCATCCGTCCCATCTGCGTGAATCGAAGAGGATAGTTTACGCGTACACTTCGACACGCCGAAGCAAAAGGAATTGCTCTTCTTAGTGACTTACAATGAGGCTCCTCGTAACATCACTCTGGTTCTTCTCGTGCGACTTTCTCCACGTTCAAGCAGAAGTGGACGAAAATGGTCATTTCCGTGGGCTCGGTCCTATGAACGGCGATCCCAACGACGAACTCTATTACATGCAGAAGTCTTATCTTGAAGCCATTTCTATACCTGAGGCTTGGGATATCCTGGACTCCACTGCCAAGAGAACACCTGTGACTATCGCAGTTATTGACGACGGAATCGAGGCCACCCACCCTGACTTGAAGGGTGCCGTCATCAAGGGCTACAACGTCGTTGATGAGAATGATGATACCAGTCCTCGAGGACTGCATGGAACCTGCATGGCTGGCATCATTGGCGCTATCAGGAATAACAACATCGGTATTGCGGGTATTCTGGACAGTGTGCGCATACTGCCCATATCCACGGATGAGTTTTCGGCTTGGCCCTTCATCGAGGATGCTTTCACCTACCTGATCAATGAGAGGAAAGATGATGTGAAAGTTATTCTCATGACGGAAGGTTCCGATTCAAGTGGACCCCAATTCATTGACGACAAGATTCGGGAAGCAACTGCAGCTGGCATGCTCGTTGTCGTCACCGCAGGGCATGCGCACCTGGATCTGGACATATATCCAGACTTCCCTTGTTCCTTCGACCGTTCACCCACTGATGGAGTGATATGTGTGGCTGCAACAGATGGTTCCAAGATGCGGCTTTCTGATGACAGTAATTTCGGTTCAGCTGTTGACATTGCCGCTCCAGGTGAGGGAATAGTTACAACTGATCTCAAAGGGAAGTATAGCCAAGATACGGGTACTTCGGTTTCCGCCGCTATCGTAGCAGGTATAGCTGGGATGCTCTACAGCCTTGAACCTTCTCTGAAGAATAAGCTGGCCCCTGCTGACATCAAACGTATCATCAAGGATACGGCCACCCAAGGTCTCAAGGACAGTAAAGGGGAAAAGACCCTTCCCTTCGGCCGCGTGAATGCTGCGGCGGCTGTCAATAAGATACTTGAAGGAAAGAAGGTTTAATTTTTTACTCTGACTCCGTCTCATGATGATGGAGTCAATGTCACCGAGTCATTGATAACTTGTTCAGTGAACTCTCGTCTAGCTCGATGGCCTCTCCAATGCTGGTTATATTATTAATGTGAAGGTCTGATCATCAGACCTGATCATCGTAACGCTTGGCATTTGATTAGGTCGATTTTTTATGCCCAACTGCTGAGTTTTGAGTTTGCGTCGTGGATTTGCGTCTGGGTAGGTCTTACTTAAGTAGACAAGTATTGGCTCGATTCCGATTAGTCATCGTTCTGGGAGATGCTGGTGCATCATCATCGATCGTTATCCCAATCCCACGTAACACACAATGTGTCTCTCTCGGGTGAAGGAATCCGTTATGGTGAATATATATATCGCCACTCAAGATTCTCTACTAGCAACCAAATATCATGGGGTGCTCAAAGCATAATCGACAAGAACGTTGCTGAGACCAGATCGTCAACGCAACTGACGCATTGCGATCATACCATCAATAAAGATAATTGAATTGAGTGAGATAAGTGTTTTTTACAGTGTTGGCCAATTTGATGCTATGCAAGTGTGAGGAATGGGAAGATTGGTCTAATCTATGCGCTTCCTGCAAATCTAAGCTAGGGTGCTTAATCTAAACTAGTGCTACAATTCCATGCAAAAAGTGCTGTTCCATGCAGTAAGGTGTCTAGGTTTGCGATTATTCCGGTGCTGAGTTCAGGGCCGACCGAGCGAAGCGAAGTCGGCTACAGATTTCGTGTACTCTTGGTTCACGATCAGGATCGAATATAGTGGAGTCCACTACTCCTGGTAGTTTAGATTGTATTGATAATTAAACAGTCGCAGTTAGTCACTAGTTGATTGACGTTCAGTAGGGTGATATATAACAGTTTGATTGGATAGAGTCGATTCAAATAAATCTACTTGCTACACAAATCCTGCTACATGGTGACACTCATAGCCACAGCACCCTTCCGTGTTAATAGGTTGTAGTGATACGATTAGTGGGCCGCTACGAGAAGCAAGAATTAAAATATGTCCTACGAACTAGACGAATTCGCCGAGTCTCACTCGGACAAGTCCCATTGTTGTTCGTCATTTCTACGTATCTATATCTATAACTAAATAGCAGAGCACAACATAATCGTTGCTCGAAGAAGTGCGTTAAAACGTTCAGACGGCCAACTTCCAAGCGCTCCTGTTCTTACTACATCACAGTCTGACTGTGTTTTCGTATGCGGCGGGCTCAATATTTCACACGTGTTTTTTCTCGAGTAACATTGGAGTTTTACAACCCGTGATATGAGAAACAATCGCGAAAAAAACATATTCGAAAACGCATTTGGAAAGTGAATAACGCGTAAAACACGTGATGTGTTTCACGTGAAATGGGGTGATTTTGTGGTTTTATACATGTGTTGATGAAAATAGTGAGTAAATTTGGGGGAATTTTTCAAAATTCTTTTTGTACACTTTTACTCGAAATTGTGTGTAAGGCTTACACTGTATTACAGTGACTGTAAGCCCCTATAATTAGTGAGGGAACTCTTCTGAGCTCAGCTGAGGAAAGCGAACACGTGCGACCGCCATCGATCGACCGCCAAACATCGTTCTGGAAGTTGAAACTGCGATCTCATCCACCTTAGGTGGGAACTCTTTCTTAGTTTTTTTCCAAAAACCACCAAAAAATTTCCCAAAAGTTTCCATACGGCCATTATCCCAGGCTACACACAAGAGTACTCGAGTCAGGTTATGCAGTGATATGCGAGGTCCAAATTTATGTCTACCAGCGGCGAGCTGTAGTGGCCACAGTGTTCCCGAAGTACTGGGTACACTCCGTGCCCGGGTCCAGCCAGGGGACCACTTGGAGCTGCTTGACCTCGAGAAGGCCTTTTATAAGTTAAGGCTAGCGGGGCGTCGCTGTGTGCGAATTAAGACCGCGGGTCGCAGCTTCCATTGTAACCGAGTGGTCTTCGGAATTCGCTGCGGCCCAGCGGCGCTTGCTGCCCAGGTGACTCTCTTGTTGAACTGTGCTTACACTGGATTACTGGGCAGAGCTGTCTGCCGACGAGACACTAAGGAGTTTCTGGATGTTGGTGTATCAGCCCTCCCATACTATGACGATAAAGCTCTCTTCGGCTCCAAAGACCGAGTGGTTGCACTCCGCGATATCCTATTCGAGATAGCCCCCTTAATGGGTGCAGCATGCCCGCCGGAAAAGCGTGATACTATCCCTGTACCATCTCAGAAGGAACAGTCTGTGGAACCCGTTCGCCATATGGGAGTGTTCTGGTCTCGCGCTGAGGATGGTCGGCTGCTTCTTCAATGTGTGGATAGTGGGGGCGTTAGACTACCTGACGCCAATAGCATTTCACGCCGGCAGGTGTTCAGTCTAGCTGGTGCCCATTATGATGGAGTTCAGTGTCACCCATGCAGCCGAGCAGTTGGTGACCACCTACGCCGATGAGCAGGCAAATCGCCAACGGTAGGTGCAAATCCTCAGTCTCGCCAAACATGGGATCACAAATGGACGATCACGCCCTCAACAAAGCGTAAATTGCAGCAAGTCCTAGATATGGCAATCTCTGACGATTTTGGGCATTATCACCATTCTTCTGTCCCACCTCATCATGACTCTCGGATTGAGCACTGTGATTCATCCTCCAATGGTTATGAGATCGTTCTCCACTCGACTTTTTCTACGACCTGCCCGACTTCTCGCACTTCAAAAGACGCATATCAATCGAAAAGAATACCTCGCTGTCCTGAAGTGCCTTAATCTACTGGTCAAATGGGTCGGATGGTTCCCTATTTCCCGTCAGCAAATACGTAAGGTTGTCATTTTCTGTGATAACTCGAGTGCAGTGGCATGGTCCCAGACTGATAAACTCAACGAGAGTATCTACGACCAGGCTGCCATTGCAAGAGCTACAGATGCCCTCAACCAGCACCGGCATCATCTGCAAGTTGACTGTAACATCTCCTTGGAGATACGGCATATAGAGGGTCTTCGTAACCTTTTTGCGGACCATCTATCCCGCCTGCCTGCCACTCTGCCTGACTTGCCTCCTCTGGGGGGAGATGAGCAGGAAAAGGGGCATTCAGCTAGATGCTCAGGACAGGCTGCGGTAGTATTGTGTGCGCTTGCTGAACAGCTCTGCATCGAGAGATTTGGCCATGGCACTCATCATGCATATCGTCCCTGCTCAACTACCTCTGCAAGTGACCCAATGCCTACTGAGCCGGATGCAGAGCCTGATCGACCCATGACTATGGTTGATCCTCCGACTGTAGGATTTTCCTTTGTAACGAGGTCAGGAGGAATTGAGCAGGGGGGACGACGGTTCCAGTTCGATGACACCACAGATTTGGCCAATATGGGACCAAAGGATATCTTAGAACCGGAGAGTAATGCCTTGAAGGACCCAGAGTTTTGTGAAACTCACGAGGTTTGTGGCATTCGACTCGGAGACCTCGTTCTTGCACTCCAAGGAAGGCCTGCCAAGAAGCCGCAGAATGAGAGTGCCTATACTTTGGCCAGAGGAGGTGCGCATGGTCCTTACTTCCGGCTGAGCGAGGTGGGTAGTGTTTTAGAACACCAGGATCCCAGCGTTCACGAAGGCTGGAAGGTTTATCTGAACACAACAAGGGCGCGGGAATGGGCGCTGTACCGTAGCCATTCCCATCCGTTGCTAGCTGCCCACCAGGGTGCTCCCCGAGTCTGAGAAGCATTACGGAAGGCAAGAATCTTGCCGCAAGATATGTTTGGGACACAATGGTGGCTGATGTTCGTAGGGGTGTATCTACCTATCATGAATGCCAGATGGGCAAACCCTTCGCAAAGGAACCTGCTCAACCACTGGTACGCAAGAGGAACTCGGGCAGGTTCACCAATGTCCATATCGACTTCCTGACCAAACCGAATGATGCCAAGTTGGGGGGATCTCCCGAGTTGAGCCCTGGAGGATGGCAGTACCTATGTGTTCTGATGGATGAGGGGACTCGTGTCGCGCTTGCTGTGGGGACGTGCCGCGTGTCCTTGCTTGCACAAGGGACGTGATTCAGGCGTTACTCCAGTGGTGTGCTTGCTATGGAATCCCTTCAGTCCTCCAGATGGATATGGCCGGGGCTCACCAGTGACTGGTGACCAGTCACAAGAGCTTGCAATGTTCCTCAGGATGATGGGCATCTCTTTGAGGCCTGGAGTGCCGAGAAGGCCCCAGAGTCAGGAGATGATTGAACGGCTCATTCGTGATGTCAAATCCGCCATCCAAACTGCCCAAGCAGATAGACGAGGGTACACCACTCCCTGGTGGGCTGCTGCACTAGTAGCCATCATGGTGCATAACCACTCTACTTAGTATGACACCCACTTATCTCCCCATAAATTGGCTACAGGCGCACCCTCCACAGGGTTAGTATCATTACCCTCATGTCCTCAAGACACTGATGACGGGCCTCAAACTTCGGACATTGATGACCCTACGAAGCTCTGGCATCGCCTGCATGAGTGGATAGGTTCGGCCTATTCACTTCTCACTCATGTACGGAATGAGAGGCAACTGGTTGCCGAAATGAAATCTGTTGCATCTTGCCGTACGCTAAACATTCCCAGGAGGGGGATAAAGCTCGTCTTTACAGAACAGTTGATGGACATAGGCGCGTTGAAAGCCCTTTCGAAGTGGCCAGATGTGATTCTAACAACTGTTATTTGTATTTCCTAAAAGGCAGAAAGTTTCCCGCTCCTCTCTCTCACCTTTTATTTTCTCGTGAGGACGATGTTGAGAGGAAAAGAGAGGAAGAGACCGGCCCTCATCGAGCACACTTACCCTCCATCCTCCGCGGCAAGATGCCTCAAGGTATCGCACTGGGCGACCTAACTGGTGGAGAATGGGTGGGCGTCCGTCGATTGACAAAGATCGATGGGGGGACTACTACTTGCTATCTTGCCGAATTCAAAATGAAGGTGAACGATAGATTCATGGTTGAATGCCTTGATCAAGCTCCCTCTGGTAGATGGGTTATCCCTAGGTC